TAAAAAAATAGGCCGTCCAAAAGAGAGCCCACGACGGAGGGCAGCAATCCTCCGTGCCCGACTAAGCGCGTTCCATAATTTCCGCCTAGTACTAGACAGTCTCTTTAAACTAGCCTACTTGCTATACTAGTTCTTATATACGCGCGAGTAAGGTATCTAGATCCGTAATCTTCTCGATATATCGCTAGAAGTGCCGCGGCTAGTCTAATTTTAATTAAGGTAGCTTTATTAGCTTAATACTAAAGTCTAGACGCATACGCGTAATAGCGGAACGACCTAGCAATAGTGCTTAATATAGCTCTTAGCGCTCGAGTCGCTACTTCTTCTAGCGCGTAGCCTTCTTATTCTCGCGCTACTTACGGCGCTGCTTTTTAGACGCTATACTAGACGCTAGGTACTAGATACTAGACGCTAGGTGCTAATACTAGATACTAGATACTAGATGCTAGATGCTAGATGCTAGGTACTAGCTAGTGTTCGAGTCGGCGATGTCGTTAGTTTAGCGCTAATCGAGTGCTAAAGGAATAGAAAAGTTAGCGAGTAGCGGCGGTAGCGAGGTCGAATTTGAACCCTATTTTAAGGACATACGGACCTTCGGCGGAGCCTATATAACACTCAAACTTTGCAACTACGTACTACGTTTATCGAGATTAGGCTACGGGTTAAAGTTCTAAGTACTAGAGGCTAAAGAGCTAGTTTGCCCTCTAGACTAAGTAGGCTATATAGGTTAAAATATAGAATAGATAGACACGCGGAGGTTATAGAGGGCACTAGAAAGGTAGACCTCTAATGCTTTATTGTTACGGCTAGGTATTATTTATTTAAAAGTGAATTATATAGGGGTAGGCAAACGAGTTAGGCGAGACTAGCAATTTACGTTTCCTAATTATAATTCTCAAATTTGTAAAGCAATAGTATTATTAGAATACGTAGTTATCTTATTAGTATAATTATCTAGGAACCGTCTCTATTATATACTATGCTACGAGTGCTAGTTATTGCAGTATTCGAGCTATAATGCCTACGCTAGTAGGTGGTTAGTCGAAGCTACACCCGCCCTGAACGGTTTAGCCTTAGGCGCTTCGCTAGAATGAGATCTCGAATAGCGCTAAACCTAATGTGGTATAGTATAGAAATGGAAGTCACGAGCAGCATACACACGAATTCAACCACGAAGCGCCTGAATGGAGGTAGCGGCAGGACCCTTCTTCACACGCCCATGTCAGTCATAGTCAGTGCAAAGAAGACTTCGCCAAGATGAGATCCACGTCTCCCCATTGGCACAATAGCTTGTCGTGAAGTCAAGAACACGGGCCACTTGGAGCCCAAGGCACAAGATTTGATAATGAGGCCGCCGGATGAGAAAGGCTGCGAGAGACTATAAGAAGTCTAGCAGATGCTTTTCGCAATCCTTCCTCGGCATCAACAGCAATAGCAACAACAGACGTTTCAGTATCAAGAAGCAACACTGCTATCGAAGCACATCCGTCGCACCAGTCAACAGCAACACCTCCTGACTACTTCAAAACACGTCGTACACAAGATGCAATTCAAATCCCTCGTCGTCGCTCTTGCAGCAAGTGTAGTTGCAGTACCAGTTGAGGATGAGGTCCAGGTACGTAATAATCAATCACAAGAACCACCTGCAACCTGAGTCTAACTCATTCCAGTCATCAAATCTGGCCGCCCGCGATGTGAACCATGTCGACCAAGTCAACGGACTCGATAAATATCTCGAGAACGCTGGTGTCCAGATCAAACAAGAAGGCAACGCCAAGGAATTGTGCGTTGGGCTCGGTTGCTACCCCCATTACCGCGCTCTGGTCCTGAGTGGATGCAACTGCAAGGGCGTCTTGGGCGACTGTTGTAACGGAGTGGTGTTCGACGTTGCATACCTCAACGCTCATTACCCATACTGGCCGTATTACAACTACTACCCGGGCTGTAGCTACCCGTACTACGTCTGCGCATTCTAAGAAAGGCGTTTCGATGGCGCGAACGGAGCATGAGGAGCAAGAGGTTGTGCTGGTCTCATTGAGAGTGTTTCCAATACCCGCAATTGTTCTGAATATGAATTCAAACTGGATCTGAAGCAGCCAAGCTCCATACGATTGTACAGGAAATGAATAGAGCCGACCTCGAAGGCATGTTTGTATAGAGCTGCGTAGCTGAGAAAATGCAAGGACTAATGGATGTCATCGATATACCTCTCTGCACTCCCCTGTGATTGAAACGCACAGTTATGTCTCCTGTGAAATTCCATTACTATCACCGGGAATTACAAGTGAAAGTCTTTGGAGCGCGTATGCCAAGATCCCATCCTCTAGACACCTTCCTTACTAAGCTAGCCCTTTAGTAGCCGAGCTGAGCGCTTGTGACGTCGCCTACAACACTTGCATTCGGTAACTTGCATAGCGCCCACAAAATGTCCCTCCTCTCACATTTACCACCGAGCCACTTCCGCGAAGTGATAAGGCATCCACGATACTAGGAAGTGTTGTAGACCACTATCGCGTTCTAAGACTAGCAGCTTGCAATGTATTTGTTTTGATTACTAATCGTATATATCTCGATTACCGAGGCTAGTAAACTTCGATAGCTAAAGGCTCTTCAACTCTATAACTATAGGCCTAGGTATCTTTATATTATATATAATGTAGCTATTTATAAGGTTCTAGGAATACTATACTAGTTTTAGAGAATATTATTATTTTAGTTTCTATATATATCTATGCCCTAGTTTATTAAGGAAACTTTTATAGTCTTACAATTCTTAATTATAGTTATACTTTTTTAAGTTATATAGTAGTTTGTTCTAGCTGTAGTATATAGTTTAGTAGGGCTTAGTTTAAGTACTGGTATCTAAGCAGTAGTTTGCTACTAGTCTAGACGCGCGCTATTAATTCCCTTAGACTCTTAGTTAGTAGGCTTTAAATATTTAGTTAGAAAATTAAATATATCTATAGTAAATACTAAGTACTACTTAGCTAATTGCTATAGTAAGAGAGAATAGGAGATTATAGGACTTTAGCTATATACTAAAATAGCGATTTAGACTTTAGTAGTAAATTTACCAGTAGTAAAAGTTATTAACCTTAGCTTAAAGTATATAAACAAAACTTAATTATTTAGGCTATATATAGAATATATACTAAAAGAATAGATATACTACCTTAGTAGAGGCCTAGATATATTATATATAACTCCCTAATTACTAGTAGTTATCCTCTAGCTAGCAAGTCTAGTAGTGTAATTCTTAGAGATTAATAGCTTTAAGCTATACTATCTAGCTATTATAGATTTAGCTATTATACTACTTATTTCAAATTCTACTACTAGTCCCCCGATAAATTATATAGTTAAGAGTATAGAATACTAAATTACTAACTTCTAAATAGAGATAGGTCGATTAGTAGAGGTCGATTAACGGTTCGACTAATAGTTTAATTAATAGTTTAATTAATAGTTCAATTAATAGTTTGATTAAAAGTTTGATTAATAGTTTGATTAATAGTTTGATTAATAGTTTGATTAATAGTTTGATTAATAGTTTGATTGATAGTTTGATTAATAGTTTGATTAATAGTTTGATTAGTAGTTTAAGAAGAAGTTCGATTACTAGTAATAGTTTAATTCAAAACGTAATTAGTAGTTTAATTAATAGTCTAATTAATAGTTTAACTAATTAAACCGTTTAATTAGTAGTTTAATTAGTAGTTTAATTAATAGTTTAATTAGTAGTTCGATTAGTAGTTTTAGTTTAATACAAATTTTAGTTAGTACTTTAGCAGTAGCTAGTCCCCTAATAAATTATATAGTTTAAAGTATATAATACTAAACTGCTAGCTTCTAAATAGAGATAGGTCGACTAGTAAGTTAATTAGTAGGTCGATTAATAGTTCGATTAATAGTTCGATTAATAGTTCGATTAATAGTTCGATTAATAGTTCGATTAACAGTTTGATTAATAGTTTAATTACTAGTTTAATTACTAGTAATAGTTTAATTTAAAATTGAATTAGTAGTTCAATTAGTAGTTTTATTAGTAGTTTAACTAGTAGTTTTATTAGTAGTTTAACTAGTAGTTTTATTAGTAGTTTAATTAGAAATTTAATTAGTAGTTTAATTAACTATTTAATTAATAGTTTAATTAGTAGTTCGATTACTAGTTTTAGTCTAAGTTCTAACGGAAGTTTTAACTAGTATTTTATTAGTAGCTAGTCCCCCGATAAATTATATAATCTAAAGTATATAGTACTAAATTACTAACTTCTAAATAGAGATAGGTCGATTAGTAGGTCGATTATTAGGTCGATTAATAGATCTATTAGCAGTTCGATTAGTAGTTTAGCTAGCAGTTCGATTAGCAGTTTAATTACTAGTAACGTTTTAATTTAAAATCTCGTTAGTAGTTTAATTAGTAGTTTAACTAGTAGCTTAACTTGTGGTTTAATTAGTTGTTTTATTAGTAATTTCAAAAATAGCTTAATTAAATATTTAATTAATGGTTTAATTAGCAGTTCGATTGCTAGTTTTAGTTTTACGAAAATTTTAATTAGTATTTTATTAGTAGTTTCTTTAATAGTTTCATTAGTAGTTTTATTAATAGTTTTATTAGTAGTTTCATTAATAGTTTTGTTTCTAGTTTTCCCTTTAATCTTCAATTAAACATTACTTCTACTAAAATTCTTAGCTAATTATTTCGGTCTTAGCGGATAACTTAGATTTTCGCGGGCGGTAGGCGCGGTATCTAGATTAGTAGCTATAGTACTAATTATTTCGGTATTAGCGGACAACCTAGATTTTAACACTAGCTAGCACTAGCTAATAGTCCGAGCTAACACTAGCTAACACTAGCTAACACTAGCTAATACCTACGCTAAAATCCGGGGCAAGTTAAATTTCCCTTTAATATTTGTTTCGATTAACGTTCTACGCTAAAATCCGGGGTAAGTCAAATTCTATATTAACTTTGATGACGCTAAAATCCGGGGCAAGTCAAATTTCCCTTTAATATTTGTTTCGGTTGACGTTCTACGCTGAAATCCGGGGTTAGTCAAATTCTACATCAACTTTGATAGTACAATTAGCTCTGCAAAAATTCTCAGCCAATTATTCGGGTCTTAGCGGACAACTTGGAATTTCGCGCGCGAGGGCGCGGTCCTCAGATTGGCAGCAAGCTACCAATCAACCATGACGACCCGCTACACAGACGAGGAGTGGAGCAAGATCATAGCAGATGTCGAGAAGCGCATAAAAGTCGATGAAAGCACAAAATATTCCCTGCCAGAGATCGGGAGCGAAGACTTCACAAGAACGGTGGATCATACACTTCTGAAGCTCGATGCGAAGAGTAATCAATTCGACGATCTCTGTGCTGAAGCGAGAGTCAACAAGTTCGCGGTATGCTTACTTATACCTAGCCACAAAGAGTTCAAACCACCCAGCTGATTTGCCGTACAGACCGTCTGCGTGCGTCCAAACTGGGTACAAAAATGCATCACAAATCTAAAAGGCAGCGGTGTAGCAGTCGCAAGCGTAGTAGGTTTTCACGAAGGAACATATGATCTTTCCGAAAAACTCTCGTACGTATCATACATCTGCGCCCTCCCGTCCACTCCACTCCCAATCCCTAACAAAAACCCACATCCAGAGATGTGCAAACCTCCCTCACCTCCGGCGCAACCGAACTCGACATCGTCATAAACTGGCCCCTCCTAAAATCCCACCAATACTCAAAAATCTACACCGAACTCTCCACCCTCCGCACCTCAGCCCCACGCCCCACGCTGCTAAAACTCATCCTCGAAACCTCCCAATTAACCGCCACGGATATCATAGCAGGATGCGTATTAGCTGACGCCGCGAGTTTCGATTTCGTAAAGACTTCGACAGGGTTTTGTGGAGATGGGGCGAAAGAGGAAGATGTGAGGTTGATGAAGAGTTGTTGTGAGAGACTTGGGAATAATGGGACGATGAGGGTGAAGGCTAGTGGTGGGATTAGAACGTTGGGGGATGCGGTGAAGATGTTGGAGGCGGGGGCGAGTCGGTTGGGGACTTCGGGGGGAGTTTGGATTGCGAAGGAGGCGAGGGAGAAGGTTGAGGGAAAGGAGGGCGAGAGGCCTGGGATGGCAACGAGGTTGTTTACGGATTATTAGGGTTGTGATCGGGAGGATGGAGGTGAATTGTGGGTGAGTGGATGAGTGGATGTCTGATGAGCGGCACCATTTATGAGCCAGCTGTCAGAGGAGCTACAGTTGCAGCAGCTATGCACGGTTGGTTGAGCATCCTACGGTCTCCCAGTGAGCTACCTGCAAAGTCGAAATATGAACAGTAGCCTTAAATAAGTAGAGCATCGAGGTTGCAGTATATGCCGTTACCAGTGGCCTGGTGCAAGAAGAATCTCAATACACCCGATGGGCGCATCAGTTCAACATGGAAGCATTACCTCACACTGCACTATGCCAATGGGAGTGGATCACGTGATACGCCCCTAAGCAGCGTCCTAGACTTTGTACGAGGACGATGAGACACCAATATTTGCATGTTTTTAGATTTGTCCTTTTTGATTTTTCATAGACGATCAAGTCTGCAGACCCCAATGCAAGGGTAGGACTCCTCGATGCACTGCCTTCTAGGTCCTCGCTCTAAGCTCGCTGGAACGGTATATGCGATCTCACCTCCAATGCACATATTCCACTCCGGTAACGCCTAGAATAATCCATCATAACATGATCCACCGTTTTGTCAAAAGCATGGAAGGGTGAGTCGATTTCGATTCTTCGAGGCTACAGCATGGATCTACGCTGAAGCCGAGGCGGTGGTGTCATCCGTTCCCGTCTACCTCCTCCTTTCCCATCGCAATCATCGTATCGAATCGTCTACTTTCTCCGGAAAGAGCAGCCCTCAGTGAGACGGGCCTTGCCACCGGTTGGCTGGCAGAGCACCTGCGAGCAGCCGGCGCAGACGACGACGGTTTGTGCGTGCGAGAAAACAGTGGTGATGGTGAAGCATCCAGGGCACTTGACGTCCATGAAGAAGGATCGTGGGCCTGGGACGAGAGTCTGGTGTGTGTATTAGTATCGAGGTTGACACTTTCGGCAGATGTGGTGATGAAAATACCTTCAGCTTGTGCTTGCGGGCCTCAGCCTGAGGGGTTGGATTGAGAAGGTCGACTGCGAGAACCTGTAGGTATCCTGGTCAGCATGTATTCATTCCTGAAGGTTGTCCGCTGCATTGTGCATGTATTTGCCGCTCTTTCTGCGCCCTCTTGCGGTCCGGAAATGTCCTCGCCGCTGTCGTGTGCCTCCTCTTCGGGGTGCTCGCCACTGAGCGCTCAGAGATCGGGCACGTACCATGTTGACGGTATTGAGATGGAACTCGAGTTGTTCTGAATATGTTTGATGGTTCCGCGAGGTTTGCTTGTCGTTCTGCGATGCGTGCGCTGGAGCGGGCGGTGGTGTTTGAAGGCAATTGTAACGGCGGAGTCGATTTCGAACTTCGCCAAGCCAGCAAAAGCCAGTGCTGAATTTCGCCAAGCCCAGCCAGGGTGGCGGAAGTCGCAGCGACCAAGCGAGAAAGAGCTTCCTTACAGGGTGTCATATGCATTCGTGAAGCCGCTCAGTAGTGCTTCCTTCCCGCCTACTCGTTGAAGGCCGATCTACCGTAATTTTCGCAGAAGTCCGTCCACAACATATGAACAAAAATAAGGTGGCATTAGCACGGTTCTCATTCTGGTCTCCGACCGGCTTCGCGAATGCATAATACACCCTAGACAAACATTGTCTTCAATGACTCGTCGCTTTACTTTGCAGGTGAGATATGGGCAATGCACAGTCTTAACGATTCGCGATGTCTCTTGCACCGAAGCAAAGGAGTGTGTTGTGATTAGATCGCTGCTGTCTAGTTATACTCTCAAATATTTCTTTTCTTCGCCGCATTCATAATGGGCACAGGACACACGACTGCCGAAAATTGGTCTTGTGGCTCAGACGCCACCTGCTTCCTTTCCATATGCCTAGCCTTATGACAGATCTCCCCAAGATCTCCCCCGATCGCCGTCGCTAAATGCTTACACAGCTTCTCATGGAAGCGCGCCGAGGCCAGCTACTAAAACAACACCCTGAAAATGCTAATGGTAGATCCTGCCTCTATCTGCAGTATTAGGTCAAGAGTATCCGATGCGGAAAGGAAGTATATTGGATGATGACTCTGCTGCTGTAGGTTACCCTGAGGTGATAAGTCTTAGTTCGTAAGCCGTCGTCAAAAGACACCCTCTCTCAGAAGAGGGGTCGTAAGGGTAAGGAGCGGAGCAGGTCGGATCTTGGTTGGTTGGTCGCGAGGTGAGAGGGCTAATGCACACGGCCGTTCCTGTTGTGTACCGCTTGTGGAACGCTGCCCGGAATCTGGGTGTACCCACGAGCGGAGACAACATGAAGAGTGGAAGAGGTCACTTGGGTCTTTTTGTGTGCCGTTGCATCGCACGGGTGGGCGGGTCATCCGCAATTCTTGTGCCGCGAACTCTTGCTGCTGCTTGCCGTTGTGTACTCGCCTTCAGGGTCCCATTGTTCTGGTTGGAAATCAGGGTTCAAGAAGTGGGCTTGATTGAAGTGAGAACTGTAGCTGTCAGTGCGGGATCTTGACAAGGGTCGTCGACGTTTTACTCACTTTCTGAAGATCGAGGTCTGGAACGGCATTTGTGAAGTAGCTTGCATGAAGTCGGCCTCGTAGTTGTATGCAGACATTCTGAATGGACCGCCACCGAGCTGCGATTGCAGATCATGATGGCCGAGATGGGCCTGTGCCATTGCAGCAGGTCGTATTGCCATCTCATGTGTCAGCTGAGTGGGCGGTGGTACCAACTGAGTAGGTGAGCTGCCAGACACGTAGACTGGCTGAGATGGCAAAGACTGCGGCTGAGGAGCCGGCGCGGAAGGCGTCTGTACTGCCGGGGTGCACGCTGACACAGGAGCTGGTGCAGAGAAAGTGAAGTCCGTAGAGTAGCTCGATGGCATTCCCCACGCCTGCGGAGGTTGACTTGCGTAAGACATGCCCGGGATGGTCATGAGGAAGTCCGGCATGGCCGAGACACCCAGGTCGTACGCCGGTTCCTGGTGCGTCTGGGTTCCGAACTGCAAGTAGGTTGGCACAGGAGCTGGCGGCGGAGGAGGTGCTGGCAGATCTTCTGGCTTGTAAAGAAGGTCATAGTGGCCACTACGTGACGGTCAATAACGGTCATGACCACATGTCAAAATGTCACCTACGGTCTGTAGAGCAGTCTCACGGTGCCCAGTGTGTAACCTCCGTTGGTAACAGGATCGAAGCGGTGCATGGTGACCTGATCGCCTTCGCTGCGGTCCAGGTAGAGCACCTCGAGACTGATGGCAGCGGGTGCGAGAAAGGCGTCTTTGAGCGCACTCAGTCCGACATGCTCGATCTCGGCCGCGACTGGGAGAATCTGGTCCTTGCAGTATTGCTCGACAGTCTGTCCAAGAAGCCAGGGAGCATAGTCGGCGTCACGTGTGATCATCCATGCTGCAGTGAGGGCCTGTCTCGGATCAGCACTCAGACATCAGATTGGAGTACTCGACAACACTAACTCTCAGATGCGAGATGATGTAGTCCTGGACTATGTCCTCGTTGAATCTCTCCAATAGAAGTGCAACCGCATCCACATTCTCGTTGACCGCATTCGCTAGCTCTCGCAGCAGTTCATAGGTCGTGTCTGCGAAGTCTTCATAGACCATCTGGCTGTAGCCTGATTGAAGCACAACATTGCCTAGTGATCGCAGTCGTGCTTCCTCCATGCCGAATCTGTTGCCGTCGCCATGATGAATGAGAGCTTCGAAGTAGCCAAAAGCAACAGCTTCACTCCTCGTCAGCGTGAATTCGTGCGCATTGATACCAGCACCATGATCCACCTACCTCTCCATCCACACTTGCCATCGCCACGGACGGTCCTGTAGTACGAGTACTTCTGAGGCAGGCTCTGTTCTTGGTCAGCCTGGCAGTCATGTTTGCTGCCGAATTTGGACGTACCTGCGTCTTAGCTTGATATACGGGGTCCGCCGAAGCGTACTCCGTCGTGATGGCCGTGCTCGGTTGGCGTTGGCCTACAAGCGGCCCCTGTTGTTGATCAACACGGTCAGTGCTCGGAACTTTTCATCGCCATCGTGCCATCGTCCATAACGACACGACCCGATGCCGTAACTCTAAATGACGCACGTTGTGACTTCAGGTGGGGAAGGGACAACATACAGTGACCGGCGCCTCATACTCGTTGCTCGCCTTTTGGAATTGAGCGAGCTCCTCCTCGCTCATCTGATGACTGCCCTGAGACATCGTGCGAGGCAGCTCCTGGCGAGGGTGAGTGCGAGAGCGGTGCGGGAGGCTGGAAGGGTGAAGATGTCGGGAGTTTGGGTACTGGTAGGCCCCGCCGGCGGCCGCTAAAGCGAGCTGTGTCTGCTGGTCTGCAGGGCTCGGAGGTTGGAGCTGATGCTGCAGCGGCAACTGCAGCGGTCGGTACGCCAGCGAAGCGTGTGCTGGGTCATGATAGAGCTGCGAATGCTGCAAGTGGTGGTGAGGTTGGTGTTGCTGGTAGTAGTTTGTCGCGGCAGCGACGCTGGCCTGCCGATGGTTGATCATTTCACGCAAGCAAGCTTTCGTCTGTCGGAGCTAAAGCAGCGGAGCGGGGCACTTGGTTTGCTGCGACTTCTGCTGGCGTTGGCGTTGGCAAATCGAGCGGCCTCCGGACATGTATCGCCGTCACCGTCACCGTCACCGTCGTCTTGCTACTGGCCTGCTCCTGTGCTGTATGCTGCGAATGGGAGACGTGCCTGTGTCGCTGCGCTGTCAAGTGCTGGCGATCAGACCCCACGTCGCAGTGTCGAATGGGATTGATTGTCGATGGAATCGGTCTGGCTCCGTACAACTGCGCGGGCGCACTGGAATGGGAATGAGGGAGGAGGCTCCGTTATGATGCACTTCGTGTTGTGTCGTCGGGACGACTGCGCGCGGACTGTCGATGTCGATGTCGATGCTGGCCACGACGCAGTGGACTTGGTGCCGTCGTCGAAGTAGGTGCGCGCATACGCATACGCATACGCATATACAAGCATGCACACGCCCGCGGCTGAAGCTGTACCAGGCGTATAGTTCTTGATTAAGTCACACACGCCGACCCAGGCAGCGAAAGGGAAAGAAGCAGAAGCGTCGATGCAGGTAACGAGCAAACGAAGAGCAGCAGCTCTCTCAATCAACAACGTAGAGTAGACAGACCAGACCCGCGCCCCAAGTAGATGCCCAGCAGGCTGGCTCACCTTGCTCGGAGGCTCGGACTGCACCGCGCTGCGCACGAAACACAAAGGGTGCTGCAATAATGTCTTCCTTGCTGTAGAGTAACCTTCCAAACCGACCAGGGTCAGCAGAACCACTGCACGTTTGCAGCAGCAGCCGGACGGTGCAGCACCGCCAGCAGATATACGTTCCAGCAGATCTCGACTCGCGCCAGATCCCAGATCCACCCGCAGTCCACAGATGACCAGCTCGCGAGCCGCCACCGGGCACAAGTGCTATCAATCATGCCAGGTACCAAATGTGCTCTCCAGTTTCCGACCAGGCACGCAGCGCTATGATGCCCATTGCGACTTCCCTCTTCAAGGACTGGCACTGGCACGATCTGATCACGCATTGGCTTGCGGCAACAAGTGCGTCGAGCATGGATCTCGTGGGCCATGGAGAAAACGAGAAATGAAGCGCAGGTCAGCGCCTCTGCCCCCCACATCTACGACTGCCCTTTCTCGTAGGCGCAGGGCCGTAGGCCCATATCTGGCCCCAGAGCTCTGCTCGTGAACGACACCAAGCCTACCAGCGTCGTCCGCTTCAACGGTCAGCAAGTGCTAGCGCTAGCCATGAGCACTGAGCATAATAAATGCCCGGGTTTCGTGTATCAGAAAGTCCGGGTGCAGGGAGCATAGGATGAGCTGCAGCAGAGCTGATCCAATAGATCGTCCGATGGCGCATCTGCAGGCACTAGGTAGGGTGTCGAACGCCATCTGCAACAGACTCGAGATCAAGTCAAGCCATCACGCAACACAGGGAACTGACGCTAGAAAAGTCGGCAACGAAGCTGAGGGGGGAGGGGAATGATGGTCTCGAGTCTTGCCGATAGCCCCGTCAGGTGAGCAATACTCTCTTGCCTGTGGACCACAAGCGCGCGCAGTCGCAAGCGACGAAGATTGGTTGAGTGCCACTCGGTCGCGCAAAGTCGACGCCTCACTCGGTCAAGACAGACATGTGCATCGTCCTGCCAATGCCAGGAGATTGGTCCCCAGTGCCATTGAGTGATGCGAAACAAATAGATATAGACTACTTTAGGCATGTGGGACTCGCGTGCATCGCCGACAGGGCATTGGATCAGGGCATCGACAGGGCGGCGACATGGAAGCTGTTCGCGAGATTTGTTGGTAGATGCAATAAATTTTGATCAGTCGCGTACGTCATCCACACCGAGCAGATGGAAGGAGTCCAGCCGTATGTGTATGGATCCCGGCTGCAGATTTGGCTTAGGTAGCACATCAGCAAGGATTACTGATTCGACACGGGGGCCGTCCAGCTGCAGCGCGGATAGATGCCGCGGGAGGCGAACGTGAGAACATCCGATGGTGCTGTAGTGCTTTGATCTGCAGGCCAGCCTATGAGGTATGGTCATTCATCTCATCACTCCCCACGTTGCCGAGGGCCATCTATGCTACACACGCTGGGCCAATAATCTGCTGGGTTTCTCATGTATGTCTCCGGCGCAAGGAATCGACGTCTACAGCTCGCTCGCCCATCCATCCTAGCTCTGTGTGACGAGCAAGCCTGCCGCCGAGTATATCCGTTAAGTGGAGCACGGAAACACCTTGCGCAAAAATACAGTGCAGTAAGATATGGGAGGACCCAGTGCGACGGGATTCTTCAGCCATCATCAAGCACTTCGTATCGCTCCCGGGCAATTAGTGATGTAGACTCACGGTGTATTTAATTTCCGGGTTTATGAACACCGTGCACACTATATGGACATACACGAGACACGGATTAGTCAGCAGGTAGGGCGGTTAATATAGCGTATTCTATACAAATCGCCTAGGCAAAGGAAATAAGAGATATAGAAGGTAAATAGTAACATTCTAGGTATATAAAGCAGCCCCTACTAGCTATTACTGTCTATAGTAAGGTTAATAGTAGTGTTGTTACTATCGCTGTCGCCTCGAGTAAATTCGAAGTCGCCTTATAGCTTAAAGACCTCTTATAATATATCCTATAGGTCTATATAACTGTCGTTTATAAGCTTATTATCGTCTAGTCGATACTTAATTCTTAAATTCTAGTAGACGAAGACTAACTTCTCGAGTACGTCGTAGCTTAACCTATTACGCTTAAGTAACTAAATAAAGCTATAAGCAGACTAGTTACGCTTAGTAGAGCTAGTTATTAGATATAGAGACAATACTAGCATATAGAGGTTAGTAAGCTTAGGGTACGAGTCTCGGAAGTTATTAGACTACTATAACAACGGTATTAGGCTCTTTCTAGCTGCCTATATAATAGGGTTACTAAATAGACCTTATCGGCTACGGAGTATAAAGATATTATTCAGAAGTTGTCTAGCGCGTACGTAGACCTTATTAGCCGACTCTTTGTAGTCCGGATAGGTAGCGGACATGCGTTGTTAGCTAGTATAGTACTCGATAAGGAAAGAAGTAAGGGATCGGACTTCTTCGTTAGTAACAATAAGGAACTGTTTATTAGGGTCGGAGCGCTCGGAGACATTAGCGAGATAGGCAATTAGCATAATAGGCTAATAACTAAAGGCGCTATTAGACTGTTAGAGGGTTCTATATAGTATCTAATACTTATAGCTTCTCCTACCGCATTTCGATATAGACTTCTATCTCCTTATTCGAGACGAGGTTTAGCGCCTTATTAACTACCGCGTTTATAAGCTAGCGCTAGTTGCTATAGACGTGTAATAGCTTAGGTCTATTAGACTCGAGAGCGATAGTTACCTTTAGGAATAGCTCTATAAGGTCGTAGTAGCTAAGGAAGAAGTTAGTTATAGGAGATTAAACGTAGGCTTTAGTACTTACCCTCTTAAATTACGCTAAAATTGGCCTTCTTCGTATACCTCGTATATCTCTAACTATAACCGCCGCTACGCAGAGGTCGCTCCTACTAGTAGGCGGTGCTCGTAGTGTGCTCGGAGTTCTTCTATCTAGTATTTGTTAATAAGTACGCTTCTATAGTAATATAGGTCGGCTTGCTAGCGGACACCTCCGGGGACCTAAAAATACCGTACTTTGCCCTTAGAAATATCCTGTAGTATCTTAAAGGCAAGATTGGTATACTTAAAGTACTCTGCGATAGATTTAGCGTCGGAAACAACGCGTCGGATAGTAGTTATACTAGTGTTAAAGGAGTATAGGTTAGAAACTAAGAGCTAAGTATAATAGGCGGCACAACCTATCCGGACTAGCTCCGGATATTGCCGGACGCACTAAGTCTTATTAGCGCTTATCGGTTAGCTAGTCGGCGCTACCCGCGAGGGGCAAGCCTAACCTCTAATCTTCGAAATATACCTCTTTAGTCGCCGCCTTTATTACTACTATATTATTAGCAACTATACCGACTACCTTGCCTGCCGGAAAGCGCTCGATAACGTCTATAAGGCCTTTAGCGTAATACTAAGTATTACTCCTGTTAGCGCCGGTAAGCTTAGACCGTATAAACTACGCCGCTCGAGGCGTAATAGCGAGATAATTAACTACCGAGCGATAAGCGCGATTAGACTAGCTATTAGTTACAATATAGAGCTGCGTACTCTTATTAACCTTAACTATTATCTCGTCGTTTAGTCGCTTATAAATACGTAGCAGGTATACGTATCTAAGCTACTAGCGAGTCGGTAGCTTAAAAGCTAGTCGCAACCTCTTTACCTATTTTAGGAAGGCAGGGTGTTTAGTAGCACTTAAGGCACTACTAGAAGCAAACACCTACTTAGCAACTAACTCGTAGAGCTTCTCGTGCTCGTTAGTAGTTATCTCGTCGACAAAACCTAACCTTACGAGTAGTATTTCCTTACGCGGAAGACGAGCGATTTCCTCGATATCCCTATTACCTAAAGAAGGCTCTTCTTCTACTAGCAATTTAGTATCCTTAACCTCCGGTAGTAGGTAGCGTTAATAGGTTAGCTATAACCTCTCTAGCAGGAAGTTACACTTAGTTAAGTGATCGATAACTCGAGCGCGCTTATTTAATACCTATTTATCGCTATAGTAAATACACTCGACGATAGTATAGACCTTGCTATTAGAACGGTCTCTTGTTACCTTACGCTAACAAGCATCTTCCGTACGCTTCCGCTTACTAAGGATATAGTAAGCTAGTAATAGACTACTAAGGGTAGTAAGCAGTAATTACTAGCTCGAAGAGGCGTTATCGGATATAGTAGAAACGATAGAGTATTTAGTAGTAGATTAAAGCTAAAATAATTAATAAAAGAGGAGGAAACTAATAGTCTATCTATACGTATTCTACTACAAAATTGCCTATATTATATGCCTTCTAGTACGGTCTCCTTTGTCCGTAATCGGGGCGGTCTTACTACTAAGTTCTCGTCGGTATTTATAGTTTCCCTATAGTAGATTAGGTCTACGTCTAATAGGCTCTATAGCCTTTCTATAACTATTACATTTATATGTAGTATTGCTTATAAACGCTATAATAACGCGAAAAGTCGCGAGCAGGCGCGATAGCAATATAATATAGACAAGGGCATAAGAAATCTCTATAGCGCTAGTATGTCGACTAAGCTAGCTACTAACAAGCAGTAGCAAGCACTAGTGACTAAACCAGCTATTCCGAGCGATTATTACTAATCCCGTTATTTACCTACGTGTTCATATAACACTAGCCAAAATTTGCGTGTACACGGTGTTATTTTCGTGTTCACCGGGCTTGTGCCATTGTGTCTAACATCACTACGGGCAATTCCAGTGACAGCGATACGCTACCCTGCACTGTTGGCTATCGCTGGAAAACAGGCAAACGCGACAATCGGAGGGCGTGGCGTCTTCCAAATGTTTTTTCTCGTTCGAGCGCATCTCATTATGCAGCTTATTTCTGTGCGCGATGGCCCTTCCGCTTGCCAGGCACAAGTGGTCGCGACGGAGCTTCGTAGATCTCTGACCCTATCGGCGGTAGTAAGCCGGCTCCGTCGTCTGTCTTGAAGTCGCCCTCATTAAGGACGGCCTTTGACAGCGAATGAATAGCCGAGGTCCAGTCCGCCACTGCATGCATCCGGTCGAGATCTGCCCGACTCTCGATCTCGACAGTCCCGGCTTCTTGGTTGATCTTGCCACGCAGCTTCTTATCCATGATCAGGAAGCCCACGATATCCTGAACTTCGGGTATTGAGATGTTCAGTCGCTTGGCAATGAACTCGAGGCGAAATCGAGTGTATGGTGCGACGAGTTTGACCACCGCCTTGGTGCGCATATTGCGAGTGACCTCGTCGATGTTCTCCGCGATGAACGGATCAGCAAGGAGGTCCTTGTTTTTCTGGAGCACCGTCTCATATTGATGAATGTCATCACGCTGATATGCATCTACCAATTCCGTCATAGCTGCGATTCGAGGGTCATTCTTATATGGCTTGGTTTCTTGCGAGTCGAATGGATTAATGTCCGAACCCATCAGCATCGTCGTTAACACCAGATACTTGAGGACCTGTATCCGCTGCAACGAGCCCGCTTCGTCGTAATTTCTGAACGATTCGAAGAAGTCGCTCTGGGCGCTTTTCCAATTCTCTGGAGACAAGTCATCAGCTCACATGAACACCTGCAGGGCATCCCTTGCATGCATACCTTCAGACATGTGCATCTTGCCACCACACTCGCGGATGATGCCCATGATCTTTGGATGTGGTACCGCCGAGCGCACCCTAAGCGCTCGCTGATATAGGCCCTGGAGTACAAATGAGTCTCGATAGCCGCGCAATGTGGTCAGCGATTTGTCATACCTTTAGCCGCTTGTTGTTTCGTGTCTCAGCATACATCTGAATCTCCAGCGCGTATGCCTCCATGGAATATGTGCCTTTGCTCGGGTCGTCTGTTCCATCCTCGCGCTTGCAGGCTTTGTGGAGCTCGCGAACCTTTCCAGTAAGCCGATCGTAGTCCTTCTGCGCAAGCCAAAGTCGCGCAAGCTTCGTGTTGGTGGACAGCCATAACCGCTCGTTGTTGGTGGCCTGGAATGATTCGAGAGTCTTGCTGTAGAAGTGTTCCATGCATTGGATGGCCGCTTCGTCCTCGGCATTCTTCTCGATGAAGTCCAGCATGTTGTTTATTGATTTTTCTGAGTAATTTCGGGTGACTGCAGATTTGACATATGTCAAGAGCTCGGTGTAGTGCTTGACGGCCTAGGTATCACACCATTAGCATATACACTCTGTCCTCATTCCTGCAATCTCCGTCACTCACATCGTCGTATCTTCCAAGCTTGAACTCGAGCTTGATCGCCTGCTTCAGGCCCTTGAACCCCCAATCGCCCTTTTCTGGTTCGAGTGCTGGCACGCCTAGAAACTCATCGATCGCCTCTTCTGGATTGTCTACCTTCATCTGCTTGGCATTGTAGTATTTGTTCTCAACGTCGACATCGCCGCCCTCATCCGCGTCATCTTCGTCTTCGTACTCGAAATCGTAGCTGGGCATTCCATTAGTGAAAGTTACTGAAGATGTGTATCAGTACGCTTACTTCTCCTCATCAGAGGCCTGCATGAAATCGTCGTCGTCAGACATGGTGGCGCTTGTTCAGTCGAATGATGTCTAGCTGTGATGATGCTTCGAAAATGTAGTGTGCGACGCGACGATAGCGGTGGTGTATAGGCGAGGTGAGGCGAATTCGATGTTTGTAGGGAAGCTTCAAGCGTCAAGCTCATGGCCAACATGGCATGGCGTAAGCAGGCGCCAAACCAACCCCACAATCACGGCTGCTCCCGCTGCTCCGTGCGCCGACAGAACTACAGCAGCCGTCAGCCACTTGCCACAAGCATTTCTCTGCCTGATTCCGACTCACAGCATATTCATCGGACGTCGCCAAAATGGGTGGCGATCTCAATTTGAAGAAGTCATGGCATCCAGCGCTGATGAGCAACCAGCGTCGGGTGTACAACGAAGAGTTGAAGGCCTTGGAAGAGCGCAAAAAGACGGAACAGGTGCTCAAGGAACGAGCGGAAGAACGAGCGATCCAGGAACTAGAGCGTCTTCAGGAGGCAGCAGGAGGCAAGAAACGAGTAGATAAGGTCGATTGGATGTACAATGGCCCGGGCTCCGGTGGACCAGGTGCGGGCGGAGTCACTGAAGAAATGGAGGGATATTTACTCGGAAAGCGGAGGCTGGATGGTCTGGTCAAGCGCAACGAGGGAGATACGCCCAAAAAAGATGCACCACAAGACGGTTTTATGGCGCTAAACTCGAACGCAAATTCCGCACGAGACATCCAGTCCAAGGTCTCAAACGATCCCATGCTTGCTATCAAGAAGCAGGAGCAGGCTGCTTATGAGGCCATGATGAACGATCCTGTACGCAGGCGACAGCTACTCGCAGCTGCAGGTAAAGAGACCGACGACAGCCATGACAAGGAGAAGGAGAGACGGCATCGACACCACAGGAGCCACAGACACAAGCACCGCGATGATGACGAGGACGAAGATCGACACAGACGAAAGCGTAGGAGACACAGCGACGACCATGACGATGACAGGCGCGAGCGACGACATAGATCTGATCGACACAGGAGAAGATCTCGGTCGCGTTCGCCCTACTCTCGCAGACGGGATGCTCGTGATCGCGATGACAGAAGGTCAAAATCTCATCGCAGTCGCCGAGACACGCCTTCGCGATCTCGCTCGCCGCCACGAAAACGGGATCAGGACGAACGTGAGGAGCGCCGAAAGTCCTACCCGAGCCCCAAACGCTCTGGATCTTCAGGCTCGCGATCACTATCAAGGTCTCCCTACAGACCACGAGGAGATTGCTCACGCCAAGAAGATCGGTACACAACGTACCCTCGTGACCGAGATGAGAGGCCGTACCGCTCACCGCCTGAAGACAAGAATGAATCTCCAGCGGATGCTGAGAGGCAGCGAAGGCTCGCTGAAATGATGGGTAATGCGACCGAGATGGAAAGTGAGAGGAAGACGCGATTGACGGAGTTAGAGGAGAAAGAGGCAACGCAGAGGGAAGAAGAGAACCGCAAGCGTTCAGAGACGGGCAAGTTCATCAGCAGCGTCAGGCGTGATGCTGAGGGTGTTGACATGGGTCGTCGCTTGCAAGGTTCGGCTCGCTCCCACGACGATTGACCCGAGTATTATTTTATTATCAACCAGTCCTCCTGCAGGTGAGCGCCTTTCCTGCACGTGTCGGTTTCACCACACAAGGTACAAGCTACAAAAGCTCATCAAGCTTTTTCCTACATCTGTCGAGAGCCTTCCACATAGCATACGGCAAGTAGTGTAGCACTTCGCTGCTTTCGTCGCGTATATCAAATGGAATCCAAATATTTGTGCTGGACAGCCGGTCGAGATCTTCCATTTCGGTAGTCAGGATTGCAGGGTCCCCCGCGATTGGTTCGCAGTCACTTCAGGTTTGCCGACAGAAAGCAAGGATCGGATCGGACCGAGCGAGCGTCTGTTGCCAACTTTAGCCAAAGCCTTGGAACCTTGAAAGCGAAGCGAGTTGTGGTGCACGGGCAGGAATTGGATGGCGTCGGGCTCGGGCTCGGGGAGTCGGGGCATTGCAAGTGTGCCTTGACGATGAAGGGTCAGGGCCAGGTAGGGAGGCCCATACGTACCAGATTGTCAATATAGTACTTCTGACCGCAGCGACAACAACGCTATCTTTGCCCCTTCAAGTTCTTTTTAATATATCTTTTTATATAGAGGAGTTATAGCTTAATAACATAGAGCAAAGATACTCTAAATTGTATCTATTTTTAGAAAATAATAAAATTTATAGTCGTTACCTATTGAATTTATAGGCTATATAGCCTAAAATTCTAATTTAGAAGTTTAACAGTTTTAGCATTTTTTAGGCCTTAGCATACTATTTTTAGTAATCTAAAACATAGATCTTGTACTTTTACCTTATAAAAATCTAAATTTAAATTTATATATTAGTATAGAAACTATTAGTAATACAATCTAGAAAGGAATATTATTTTCTTACTATATTCTCTTTAGTTTATCTTTTTATTTAGAAGAGTTATAGCTTAGTAATATAAGACAAAAATACTCTATTCTTAAACTAGTATTAGGAAACTACTAAAATTACTATAGCTCTCTACTAAGATTAGCCTAAAATTCTAGAATAAAGATTTTAAGATTTTAGTATTTATTAAGCCTAGTATAGTATTTTTAGTAATCTGGAACCGAGACCTAGGAGTTTTACCTAGCATAAATATAGAATGAGATTCTTATCTTAATACGCTTACTATTAGTCTTAGAATCCTAAAGCGAATATTCTTAAGAATTGTAGGCTTAGTAATTTAAAGTTTACAATTCTTAAGAATATTCTTTTCTAAGTTATAAGACTATTTATAGCTCAGTTAAAGTAAAAGCTCTAATATAGATTCCTACTAGGTAAAAATATTAGGTTTGGGGTTTAGATTACTAAAAATAGTATACTAAGGCTTAATAAATACTAAAATCTTAAAATCTTTATTCTAGAATTTTAGGCTAACCTTAGTAGATAGCTATAGTAATTTTAGTAATTTCCTAATACAAGTTTAAGAATAGACTATTTTTGTCTTATATTACTAAGCTATAACTGGTCTAAAGAAAAAGATATACGAAAGGGAATCTAAGAAGAATTTAAGTTTTAAGCTCTAGATTATATAACTAATAGTAGCTATATTACGAGAAAAATCTCAAAATAGATTTCAATTAAGTAAAACTATAAGACCTACGTTTTAGATTACTAAAAATAGTATATTAAGACTCAAAGAAACGCTAAAATTCTAAAATCTCTAACTTAGAGTTTTAAGCTATATAGCTTATTAATTTAGGAGGCAACAACTAGAAATTTTGATATTTTCTAAGAATATACATAAATTAGAGTATCTTTGTCTTACATTATTAAGCTGTAACTCCTCTAGAAAAAAAGATATATTAAAAAGAACTTGTAGGGGCAAAGATTGCGTTGTGAATTCTTCATTGACAATCTGGTATATATGGAGCTCCGTCGCCAGGCCGGCCGGCAACGTCGCGGCTCTCACGCAGTAGTAGTTGTGCGCAGCGAGATACACGTCCTCTCGGCCAACTCTCAACTTTTCCTCTTCCACTTGTCATAACCACCATCATCAGTTCAGCTCGCGCCTGGCCCGCGGATCCCGGTGTTCGGTGGCTGTCTTGTGCAACGATTAGCCGGCTTCGCGCGCTGAGCCCATCTTGATTGGGATTGCCCGATTATTACCTCATCGTCCGCATTTCTACTGCTTGATTGCTGCACGTTGCTTCGTTGCGTCGCACTCCGGCGAGCAGTCATCCATCGCCATCTCCCTCCTCGCTGTACCACCATCGACCCCAGAACCAAAAACCTCCATTCGACTCTCACGGCCCGGCTTCAGAGAGCCCGCGGAGCGAGTGCAGCGAGAACGCGCGCGCAAGAGGCGGCTATCCTAACATCTTCACAACCAACTTGAAACGCCGAAGAACAACCCAGTCATGCCGCTCTGTGGGGGAACCAAGACTGTGCAGCGAAAGCTGGTACTTCTGTAGGCCCATCGAGAAGCTACGCGCGTCGAGTAGACATTGGAGACTGACGCGGCTTTTGACAGAGGCGACGGTGCATGCGGAAAGACATCACTACTTAATGTCTTCACGAGAGGATACTTTCCGACAGTATAGTAAGCGCTCTGCGTGCTTCAATCCCGCAAAGCATCACCTCTAACAAAACGTCCTTAGCGAACCTACCGTCTTCGAAAACTATGTCCACGACATCTTCATCGACAATGTTCATGTGGAACTGTCTCTATGGGACACTGCAGGACAAGAAGAATTCGACCGATTGCGATCCCTCTCCTACGATGATACCCACGCCATTATGCTCTGCTTCAGCGTCGATTCGCCCGATTCCCTCGAGAACGTAGAAAGTAAATGGGTCGGCGAGATCGCAGAAAACTGTCCCGGTGTGAAACTCGTTCTGGTCGCGCTGAAGTGCGATCTGCGAGAACAGAAAGACGATGAGGATACAGATACGCACCATGAGCCCAAACGGCCCATGATTGACTACAAGGCCGGTCTGGCTGTTGCTGAGAAGATCAAGGCGTTGAGATATCTCGGTGAGTTGAAATCATATTCGAGTCTGCGACATGTCTCACGTTCAGCGGACAAAGCTTTGGAATGTCTCATACTGATTCCCGGACCAACAGAATGCTCCGCGATGAAGAACCGTGGAGTGAACGAGGCTTTCACCGAAGCAGCACGCGTGGCATTACAGGTCAAGAACGTCAAGGGCGACAAGTCGACTAAGAGTTGCAATGTCATGTAATTGCGACTTGACCGGACGAGACGTGTACAGCATGACCGAAACCAAATCATACGAACGACATATCCGACTTTCTCTCGCTTGCGCGCCGAGATCTCATTATGCCCATGAAACGCTGCTGCCTGCGATTATTTGCTTTTGATATTGTTTGCTGAGCTGTTCATACATGCGAAGGCGTTTGGGGCGTAAATGATGGTCTTCCTGCTTTGCACTTGTGGAAACACAACATATACCGGAGGGACGAGAAGGTGAGACGGATAGCGGCAGAGTTCTGAGTAGCTTCGGAGGCTGGAGATTGGACCATGGAGAGGCAAAAAGTCACTGTGAGTATGGACGGGTGGCTTTGGAAGCGTGGAGGAGGAGGCACTTGAGCTTGTTCGAAGCCTGGACAGATATGTGACCAATGCCACAAATTTGGCTTGAGCACTATCACGATCGCATTTGTGTCATGTCTTGCAACAAAGACTGCTGTGACATGCGCGCAGCATTGAATTTGGCATGGCAGCTGAGTTCCCCCAGGCAATTCTTTGGACAGGCTAACCCGGTCCATCACATATCGGATGATGTGCATGTGATAAACCAGGTCTTCGGATCCCCAAAGTATTGACATGCAGCAGTCATTCACCTAAAAGGTACAGACATCCTGGCGCGACCCAAGGATCATAAGCGCGTGAAGAAATCGAGATGGTAAGACAACTCGGACGAACTCTGAAGTGCATATTGCCACGCAGTCATCATGTCTTTCCTTCCCTGGCAGATGCAGCCTCACTTAAGAACGACGAGTATCAGCAACATCCATTTCAGTACGGACGATGATGGCGGATATACGGACGCTGCGAATGCTATGAAGGTGGGGCTCACTCGTGACTTTTTATATACTAACTCTGTGTATATCCTCGAGCGTAATATCTGCACTTCTAAGTCTCTAGGCTAATATCGGCTTCCCTCTTTGCTCCCTTATAAGTTGCTATATGCCTTTTTATACCGTATTTGTACTTAAATGCACTAGTATAGTTCTCGCACTTAAAAGGTTTTAGGTTAAAGCCGGCTTCCCTCGTTATTCCTTTACAACTTATTATTATATGCTTCGTTAGAATTGCTTTTAACGTAAATGCTTTAGGGTAGTTCTCGCACTTAAAAGATTTTAGGTTAAAGCCGGCTTCCCTTTTAATTCCTTTATAACTTATTATTATATACCTCGTTAGAGTTGCTTTTAACGTAAATACCTTAGAGTAGTTCTCGCACTTAAAAGGTTTTAGGTTAAAGCCGGCTTCCCTTTTAATTCCTTTATAAATTGTTACTATATACCTCTTTAGATCGCTTTAGATCGTAAATGTTATAGGGCAGTTTTCGTACTTCTTATAAGCTAACCTCTTATATATCTTTAGGTCTCCTTCGGTATTAAATCGACGTCGATACGCTAGGTATAGGAATCCGTTAAATAATTCGTATCCGTCGAAGGCTATAGCTTCCGCTTCTAAGTACGCGTTATAGCGAAGAGCTAATAGCTTTAATATCCCTCGAGACTAAATTCTATCTAACGGTATTGTTTTAATAGTAATATTACCCTCTATTTGCTTCTAGTAATAGATCTCGCATTCTTACTCGCTAGTATTTAGCGGGAATGTCTTTCGTATACGTCCTATTAAAAGTATAGTAGCTTTGTCGCCTACTAACCTATAGTAATCCTATCGTACGTAATCGTAGACTATTACGGTAAGGAGGAAATAGTACTCCGGCTAGTTAGGATCTATACTATTATCGGTTAAAGCATTAGTATATAGCCTAGCTAATTTATTAATATCGAAGGATATCTATACTTCCTCTCTATCTATCCGAAAGAGGCTAGAATTCTAGACGTAGGAAGTGCTATAGACGATAGCAAGACGGAACCTAAGTATCGGACAAGTGCTATAAAGATACTACTATATATCGTTGTTAGTTAAACCTCCGTCTAGTCTAGACTAAAGTAGTATAATCTCGATAGGGCGGTTATACTATTCGACGAAGTCCGCGAGTTAGGATAGTAAACTACGTACTAGATTGCCGCTACGTCCGGATTGTCCTTCGTCCTCGGGGTCTAGAAACTGTTTTCTAGAACTGCCTAAATACGTATACGGAATCTACGAGACTTAGTCTATATTGTTACGTAGCTCTACCTAGGATATAACTTTTTTAGGGAGTCTACTAGTCGTACTAAAGTTCCTATAAAACGCGCGAACTTAATCGAACGTACGGCCTTCTAGATCTTCGAAATCTTTAATCTTTCTAAGTGCCGTGCTTTTCTATACTTAGGAGATAATTAGTCGTAGCGTATAGTCGATAGCGTCTTAAAGATCTAGCGCTTCTCTCGGGTCGGATAGTAAGTGCTAGAGAGTAGATATACCTACTTGTCTACCGACGCTAGGATAGAGGCTATAGAAAGTGTTTTAACTATCTATATGCCTTAGAAAGGTCTAAACACTCTTTAATAGTACCGTACTAATTCGATCTCTTAAGGAGTTCTCGTCTTCGATATCTATAGAATATCGGATCTTTTCGATAACTCTAGCGATAATATCGGCTTCGAGCGTCGCTTTGCCCTATAAGTCGCAAAGTAAGATATCGCATACAATTCGCCTTAGCTCTAAGAGTAGGACTTCTCTATTATATAGCTAAATATCTACAAAGAAGATACGTTCCTACTTAGGGGTACTATCGTCCTTACCCTCGCTATTCTACGCTCCGTCGTCTATTTTTACGTCTTTATTTACGTTATCGCTCCCGTTGCCGGATTCTAAAGAGGAGTCGGGAGAGTAGTTAATATCCCTAGTCTTATAAAGCGCTATAAGCGTCTCGTCGTAATCTAGCTAACTATAGCCGCTCGTATTGCCTTATACGAGTATCTTCTCTACGCGACGAGCGTATACGGCTCGATACGCCGCGGCGTCTAGTCGTAATTAGGAAGTCCTTGCTATATCGAGATAGACGTACTCTACGAGATTTTGTACTCTATAAATAGTATAGTCGTTATAATTCTTCTAAAAAGCAGTATCGGCCTATTTGTACTTCTAACGACTAACTATACTTATCTAAGACGGCGAGTAGAAGGCCGACCCGTATAACTTCTTAAATAGAATAGTTAAAATCGTTTCGACCTACCGATAATAGAATGCTTTTTGTTCTACTTTAGAACGATCGAAGTACTATAAGTCGAAGACTATAATCTTATATAACTCTCGACGAGCTATAAAGAACTCCTAGTATATATTAGCCTCGTTTAGGACTAAAGCGGCTTTAGTTGTATCTTCCGTTAGTGCGAACGGAAATCTAAAGCCGTATTCTATAATCTACTTAACGGCGTCTTTAGACATTGTCTAATAAGCGACTTTAGTTAGAACTCTAACGGCGAGCTTTCCTCTTACTCGGTCTAGTACGTATATTCGGACTAAAGCTAAAACTAAGTCGTCGACTAACTAGAATGTAGGTACTAGACTAATAACTCCTCTAGCCGTAAGTTAGATTATCTTATCTAGGGCTGTATTATTAACTACGACACTAATTGTCTTAGAGGCATCTAATCGGGTCGTATCGCCCGAAAAGTAGGTATTAAGGATCTAGCGAAGTACTATTAAAGTCTAATCCGAGACAGACTTTGTCGATAATACCTTCCTAGTCTTATAAATCCTCTTAATTGCTCTCTAAAAGTTAGCCGTAGGTAAATCTACCGAGGTATAGAACTTAGTATTCTACCGGGGAGCATATTCTTTCGGCTTGCTATAAAGTAGAGGCTAGGACAACGCCTTAGCAGCATTACCCTTGCTTAGTAGATCCTTCTTAGTAGATAGAGCACTCTTACCAATAGGCTTCTTCGCGAATAAAGTACCTTTACTAGCCGAGTTGCTCTTAGACGAAGGCTACTAACTTAATGTGCTTTTAAAGATGTACTATAGCGTAGGCTACTATCTTCTACCTTCTTATATTAAGTATATACGTAGCTCGACGAAGTGCTGCCTTACCTACTACCCTATCTTTACTATAATCGGCTCCTCGCGTATAAAGTATCGTATATTGTCGATCGTAGCGAAGCCGTACTCGTAGTTATTCGGCTATAGAGTATATAGCACCTCTCGAGAAGGCTAGGTATAAGCATCCTTAAATAGAAAGTCTAGCTTCTTCGAAGCAAGCTCGAGTATAATCCGAATAGCTTATTCTAACTTTCCGCTACGCTTTATACCTCTAAGCGAATTAGCTAAGATAATAACTTTATTTACAAAGTCGATATTAAAGGAGCTCTAATAGCTATTACTTAATATAGTACCTACTATAGCCTTACTATTTACGGGTATATCTAGGATGTATATAGCGTAATTCTACTACTTATCCTAGCTTTCTCGGTCGATAAGCGCGAGCGTATCCTATAATTGATTTTAACGGACTTCTATCTTATCGTCTAGAAGCTAGTAGAGCAACTTAACGGGCGAGAAGTAGACGATTCCCGGTACGAAGTTATAACTATCGAGTAAGATAAAGTCCGAAATCGTTATATTATCTAGCTAGTAGTCGCTACTATTATAGTTACCTATTAGCGGATACTATTTACTCTAGGTACGTAAACTTAGCCCGCTAAGACGATAGTCGTTCTATAGATAGTCTATTAGAAAGACCGTATTCTTAGGAAACGATAGATCGCCCTAGTTCCGGAGTCCGTTATCCTTTTTGTTCTACTTAAGGTAAGTCGCAATAATACGAGCGAGCGGTCTCGTAATCGGTAGCAATAGTCCGTCTTTATCCTACTTCGAGTTAGGATTTAGTCCTTACTCGAAGGAGATCTAGCGTATATTCTAGTAGGCGAAGTCTAAGTTATACTTGTTCTACCTTTTCCTAGTAAGAGCTAGATCCTCTAGTTTATAGTCTAGGACTATAGCATCCTTCTACGATAATCCTACGACTAGTACGCTCTTCTATATAGTTAATAGAGTGCTTAACTTAGCCTCTTCGTTATTACCCGTTATAAACAACTTATTATTAGGATTCGATACTACGATATCTTCTTATATAAGCGAGTCTCTATCGTCTATATAGAAGACGTCGGCACTTGTCTCTGTCTCGTTAACTGCCGGTAATGCCGCTAGTAGTACTACTAGTACCTACGTAGTAGTAACGGGCGGGAGCTGTATAACCGTTACGCTAGCTGCTTTTAGCGTTAGTAAAGCTTTCGTATTAGTAAACTTAGAGACTAGTAGAGTAGTAGGTCCCTTCGATACTATATTAACCTCTCCTTTACGGATCTTCTATTCTCGCTATACTCTACCTTTCTCCGTAGTAGTATCCTATCCCTATATAATCTTAGCGCGTTCCTAACGTATAGGCCGATTAGGTCTAGGGCTAGTATCTAGAGATCCGTTTCGACCCGAACCTAACGTCTTCTACGAGCCTCGCCTACGAACTAGAGAGCGTTTACGCCGCTAAGCTCGCCCTATATCGCGTCTAGTACTTAGAGATCTCCGCCGGTACAATCTGTCTCTAGAATCGTTGCGATGTCTATCGCTACTAGTACGTAAAGGAACGTACTTATCGTATCCGCTTCGATAGTATCTACTATCTTTAGCTCGTAAAGGTACGTATCGATCGAACCTATAATTCTTATTAGTAGGACTTAGAGAACGACCTCGTCTACGGCCGCGATTATCTCGTCGGGTACTATAATAAATAGAGTCTAGTAACCGTCTTAGTAATCTTATACGACTACTAGTATACTTACCTAACTGTCTCTTTCGAGAACGGTTATTTCTACGTACCGCTACTAGAGACCCTCGCCTCTATCGATAGTCTAATCGAGAGTCGTATAGCGAACGAAACCTCCTAGACGTTCTTAAGCTCGCGTCCGTACGACGCGATAGCCTAGAGCCTTTATATCGAGATAAGGACTTAACTCTACTATCTCCTCGCCTAGCCGTCTAGCTAGTAGGACTACGAGTCCGCCTAGAAGCGTCTATATATCTATACGAAGATAATATTATCTAATTTAGATATAGGTAAGGCGCGTACGTAGCGCCTTAAGCCGGGAATAGTAAAACCGCGTAAGCGGTAGAGAAAAGAGTAAGTAAATAGAGGCGTAACGCCTCTTATAGGAATTGAAATTAATAATACACTTATAAAAGCGTATCGGATATAAGGAGAAAGGACGTTTAGGCCTAGCCTAATACTATATAAAGTCGAATTCTACTAAGCCTCTTCTTAGGAAGGCACTAGTTAACTAGGAAGGTACCTTCCT